TCTAGGTTAAAGCAGAAACAACAGGAATTTGATCAGGATTCAAGTCATTCAATCATTCAAACCTCAATCGAATATAATCAAATCATAGAATCAATACTTGGGTTCATACAATCAAACCTAACATACAGAACTAGGGTTTCCCACACCCAGATGAATGGGAGAACTACTCCATGGAGAGAGAAGCAAAAGCAGAATCAGACGCGGAAATCATACTGTGAAGATGGATTTCTGCTCCTGGACGTTGAATCGGCACTTCTCCAAGCTCAAACCAAGCTCCAATGGTGTTGAAGATCGATCTAGGGCACTTGGAGACTCTTGTTCGTCGCTTTCTCTCTCTAGGAACCGCTCAGTCTCTCAAAAACTCGAATCCCCCTTCTGTTTGCCCGAATTAGGCTTTAAAACTGGCTTTCCCCGAGTTGCACGGCCAGGGTGCACGGCCGTGCACATCACCATTCTGGCCGTGCACCCTAAAACGCGCCGTTTCCTTTAAGTCAACTCATGCTTCTTGCACGGCCAGGCGCACGGCCGTGCAAGTCTAGAATGTGGCCGTGCGAGCTCTCGCACCAACCCGCACGGTCGTGCGGGTTCTCCGCTCTGCCCGTGCGTGGCCTCGGCATGAGGCGCACGGCCATATGGTGCAAGTGCACGGCCGTGCTTCTCCATGGTCTGGCCGTGCGGCTCCCCAACAAGCTCGTCCTTCGTCCGTTCGTCGTCCAATCGACCCCAAACTCGCTCCTAAGCCCTTATTCACGTACTAGGACCTGAAATAACACAAACAAACACAACCTAGCGTGAAATCGGCCTAAAACACGAGAATCAACACCTCAAACGGAGTAAGAGCAGGGGTAAAAACATGTGTAACTAACGGTCTATCAAGCCATTTCGCGGATTGGGACGAGGAAGAGCATTTACGGGTTAAGAAAGGATGAGGAAGAATTGAATGTGGTGATAGATTTTTGAGGAATTGTAGAAGGCTATAGTGGCTGAAAAATGAAAATAGGTGCGGCGGTGGGAGAGGAGGAAGGAGAGAGGGAGGGGGGATGGGGAAGCGGAAGGAAGGAGAGTGATGGGTGGGGAAGCGGCGCTGTCGCTTAGGATTAGGTTAGGGTTTTTTTTAGTTGTTGTATATATATGTTGTGTAGAATTATTAAATGGTACCTCTAATTATCATTTTTACTCATTAAATCATTGAATTATTACTTTATGTGTGTTCTACTATGATATTATATTATTTATAATGTACCGGTTCTCAAACGGTTTTTAAACGGTCTAATGCCGGCTGGACCACTAATGACCGAGCCGTTCACGTTACCGGGTTATACTCCGGTTCGACTTTGACAGCATTGCCCCTACCTATGCCTTAATTGATGGCAATAGCCAGCCAACAGTTTTGCACCTGATTTGGAGGACAAGATGGCACACTCCAATGACTCAACGAATACATACCTTCTTTTGGTTGACCATCCATGCAGTGGCGGAGCCACGGCCAAGGGAATGGGGTCCCAGGACCCCACTTGGGAACAATTATGAGCAAAAAATGCTTAGATAATTGCTGTAAATTGGATTTAGGACCCCATAATAAATCATCTCACTCAACATATTAAGAGCTTCTCATGTATCTTCACCTTAATTTCTATGTAACCCACCAATTAGGACCCCAGTCAAGTTCAAATCTGGCTACGCCACTGCATCCATGACCGTCTTTTGATGAATGCAGAGAGAGATTGTAAACTACTGACTAATACGGCCAGCTGCCTTGTGTGTGGCAATAACATCGAGGCGACCATGCAGATGATCAGGGATTGCCCTTACGTGCGCTCTATATGAGCTGACTTCCTCCTCTCTTCTCCCTCTCCCTGGCACACTTCGAAAACTATACTCTCCCCAATACCCTTCCATCTCAATTCTCCTTCCTCTCTTCTGCTCCCTCGCAACTCGCAACAAGAGCCAAACGTAGACAATTGATGAATCTATGCCCTCTCATGACAACGAATCTGTGTCAAAGAGCCTTGCTCTTCTCCCATCATGTCAGTGAATCTCCTCCCTTCTCCGACAATACCCATGCAGAGAGCCTTGCTCTGCTCCCATCTCGCCGACAAATCTAATCTGTGCTCGCAACAACCAACCCGCACAGAGAGCTTTGCTATGCTCTGCTCTCATCTCGGTGTCTAATCTACTCTCTGCTCGCGACAACCAACTTGCACAGATAGCCTTGCTCTACTCGTATCCCAATTGTGAATATGCTCCCTGCTCGCGATAACCATCCCATCGACGACAATAAAAAAAGAACCATTGGAGGTTGTTTCTCCCGACCAAGGTTGTCAACCCGCGGGTCGACCCAATTTGACCCTGACCCGGTGAGAAAAACGGGCCGCACGCACCCGTCGGGCCGATCACTATAAGGTACCAGGTTGGAGGTCAAATTGTGTCATTTTTTTCTTTAGTTTGCGAACTGCGCCTATTTTCCAATTTTTCTTTTCGCCTAACTCAATTTTTGGAATACTAAGTTGAACATTTGAATATTTATGTTATATAAGTGTGTGTGAATTTTCACTATATGTTGGATCTAAGTACGATATGTTATTTTGGTGTAATATTATATGTTATAACTCATATGTTAAATAAGATTTGATATAATTTATGAGGATAAGTACAATATAATGACTCTTTCTATATTTCCGGGTCAAACCGGGCTAAAACGGTTGACCCATTAACCCTTGACCCACTAGCTCGACCGGGTCCGGGTCAACCCGCGGGTTGACAACCTTGCTCCCGACATCGTGCGTAAAACACCCTCCCTCGCTTGATTCTTTCTCTTTTTGGTCTTCAATTATTATTTTATAGTTGTTTTTGTAATTTTAATTAACAACTCATCAATTTGGCAATCAAACGTTAAAGTTGACTGCACCTGGGATAAAGATAACGAAGTTGGACAGAGAGTGACCATGGATGACATAAATGTGTAATTTCGATGGTGAATTTGAACAAAAAGTGATTCATGTGGCAAATATGAAGTAAATCTGTAATATGAGTGACCAAACTTGCAATTTTGCCGTTACATATTTTATCCATAAATTTCTTATTTTGCATAGTTAGTAAAATATGGTACGGAAAAGTTACGTATAAAATACGATAAGGGAAAGTTACGTATAAAATACGTACATGTATTTTACTTCATCTCTAAGCTAATGTTACATTTAATAGTACGTTAATAGTCATAAATATATAAAAATAAATTATTTTAAAAATAAACAAACATATAAATATTAGTAAAACTAGCAATTTAATTCATTAAATACGGATATTAAACGTGTTATATGGATTTTATACGTGTTTAGTACGCGATCCATCAAATGAACGGAAAAAATGAAACGTCTTGACAATAACACGGATACAAAAGTTTTAAACGGATAAAGTACGTACGGGTGCATATACGTGTATTAAACATAGTATTTACTAACTATGCTTATCTGTGAAGAAATGCTCTTAGATGGGCCGGTATGAGTATGGGGCGGGGGAGGCTAAAACCATACATGCCCCATACTCGTCAAACAGTTTATGAGTTTTACCCAAATCCACCCCATACCCCAGTCAATGCAAGGATTCCCCGCGTTGTTTGGGTCAGGGACGGTCGAATACACGCGGACCGCGGTCATGGTTTGATTGCCAAGGGAGGGGGAATCGTGGGTGGAGGTGAGTTGGAAACGAGTCAGAGATAGACACTACCGGAGATGGCGTCGCGGAGTAGAGAGGAGAAGAAACATAGAATGGACGGAGATAATGGAGCAGGAAAATGGTAGGATTTATTTATTTTTTTAATTGACATGTCAGCAAAGATGAACTTAATGATGAAACATTGAAGTTGATTGTCATCTAAGATGAACTTAACAGAGTTGGACGGCGAGTCACCATTGATGAACCAATATGTAAAGTTAGTGACAAATAAGAAATAAAATTTTTGTGGATAGTCAATGTATTTTTTATTTTATAAATTGAGTAATTAAAGGTGTAATTTAGCCCAATTAAATTATCTCAATGGTGACATTTATAAATTATCTCAATGGTTGTATAATGTATTTTTTAAATTACACCTTTATCTCAATAGTGACATTTATAAAGTAGCCCAACTAAATCACTCGATAGGCTAATTATTTGGCTAACAATATACATTTATAAATTATCTCAAATCTCTTCTAACCTATGAGTAATAACATATAATATTGCACCAAAATAACATGTCTTACTTGGATCCAACATATAGTGAAAATTTACACACACTTATACAACAATAATATTCTAATGTTCAACTTAGAATTCCAAAATTTGGGTTAGGCGAAAAGGAAAATCGGAAAATTGGCGCATTTCGCAAACCAAAGTAAAAAAATGACATAGTTTGACCTACAACTCGGTATCTTGCAGCGCCCGACCTAGCGAGTGTGTGCAACCTGTTTTTCTCACCAGGTCAGGATCAAAGTGGGCCAACCGACGGGTCGACTCGCGGGTTGACAACCTTGGTGTTAACCCTAAATTTTGTTAGGTACATCCACCATGAACAAATGTGACATTTTGGAACAAACATGTGAAGTAATGGACCCTTTAAAAAAAGGCCAATGTCTATTTTTTATACAGATCTTTTCCAGATTCTTTTATATTATACAAAACTATTAAAATACTATTAATTAGCTAAATCTTTTCTAATGCGTCAAAATATTAGTCATTTTGCATTATCGTTAATAATTTTGTAACTCTTTTCTTAGTTAAAATACTAAAATTTTGGAATGTTGACCTTCAGGTGTCTCTTTCAAGTTAGTATCATGTTGCCCGTCAATATTACTAACAAATTGCTAATTGAAAGTTAACAATTAATTAATGGCTAGTATTTGGATAGGTTTGACTAATAAAAAATGCCAAAAAAATTTGGCTAAAAAATAGTAATTAAAAAAAAAAAAAACAAAGTAATGGATGGACCTTCCCCAGCCGCGTTGCTCTGAAGCGCAGGCGATGGATCTCTTTGGAATTTGAAAATTTCCCTTCGCGCTCCAAAGCAAATTCACGAACTCAATCGTTTCCATTTAACCAGACTGCTACTCCGCTTCTTCTTCATCTTCTTCGACGACTACCCGCCATCCAATCCATTGAATCCACTCATCTCCGTCCACTCCCCGAACATGTCCTCAAAATCCAGTCATCTTCCTCTCTCCTCCATCCCACACGATGACGACGACGATTTCCAGCTCCCTCTCACGCAAACACCCGCAACCCTCGCTCTCTCTTCAGTTCCAAAGAAATCGTCGGCCAGAACACCTCTCGCTCCTTCCGGCAACTCTCACCGTCTCCCTAAGAAGCCCAGGAGATCTACCAATCCCGGGAAGGAGAACGCGGGCCTCGAGCCCGTGCCCAGGAAGGAAGGAAAGAAGTTCGAAATTAGCGAGGAGCCGACTTGCAGCTTGGATTTAATACCGTCAAGCATCGACTGTAGTGGCTACGGAGCTCAGGTTTCCGGGCATTATCAGGAGCAAACGGCTTACAAAGAGACTATCTGTGAGATTAGAAATGTGGAAGAGAACGGAGGGTATCTATGCAACTCCATAGAAGCTAGGTTAATGCAGAAATGGAACACGGATTGCGGAGCGAGTATAGCTGAAAGTGAGTTGGATTCGGATGTGGGGGCAGGGGATTTAGGGGATAGTAGTGAGCTCGATGTATTGATTAGACTGTGCGGCGATGATGGTGACGATGATGGTGAAGAGGCTGGGCAGGAAGTTAGGTTTAATGACGGGGTGCTAGATGAGGAAGAAGAGGACTGCTGTATCGAGTGCCCGCTTTGTGGGTCTGACATTTCGGGCATGAGCGAGGAAGCCAGGCTTGTTCACACTAATGATTGTCTTGACAAAGGGGAGAATCAAATGGAACAAGTAAACCATATTTTTCGATTTTTGGCAGTGGAGATTGTTAACAAAGAAGCTTCAGAATGGTTAGCTGATTTCTGATTATTATGTTCAAATGCAGGTTCTGTTTGAGAGAAGGGAAACAACCCAATTCCAGCCTGAAGTGGTTGATGGTCCTGGCCGTTCTCCACAGCAGGGTGTTGATGTATCTCCTGTGCGGCAATGGCTACGAAGTTTGGGTTTAGAAAGATATGAAGAGCCTTTTGTGCGGGAAGAAATCGACTGGGACAGCTTGAAGTGGCTTTCGGAGGAGGTAGGTTTCACTATATGTTATCTAATCTTAAATTGGAGTGAAATTGGTAGAACGATTCTTGCTTGCCCTCTATGATGCTTTCATCTTTTTAGGCAAAAGAAAATTGTTGGCTACTGTGTATGTTTGTGAGTTCCTTGTCTGGACTAGGTTAAGTATGAGTAATCACATATAAAGGTGATCTTTAGAGTTTTTCGATGTTATGCTGAGTACTCTATATCATGAATTAAAAAAAACCCCTACTCTTTTGACTGGAAGAATGTAGCAAAGTTGTTTCTGCGACCTCAAATGTATATCTGTATCCACCAAAAGAAAAACGGATTCTTGTAGGTACTAACTATCCATTGGTGATTCGGGCAATCTTTGCCTGGATTTTGTCTTTGAGAGGAACCAAGAATACTAACACTTGATACATAAATTCTTCTCCTTGTACTTCTTTGCAGGATCTTATAAGTATAGGCGTTTCTGCACTTGGACCAAGGAAGAAAATTATGCATGCTCTTACTGAGATTAAGGAAGGTTTGGATAGAGGTGATAAGCAGGAGACTACAGATGGTGTAGGTGAACAGAGGAACAACAATGCTGAAGACATTAAAGTGGGGACTTCAAAAGTCAATCATATTGAAACCAATAAATCAATTTCAAATAAACTGATCACAGACTATTTTCTGGGGTCTGCTAATACAAAGAGAAAAAGTTGTACTAGCTCTACTAAACTGCAAGGACAGGGAGAAGGCCAACCAGATTGTGGTCCAAAACACTCGGGTAAAAAACAGATCAGAAGAGGTCGGTTCAGAGATATCCCTTCATGGTGTAGTGTACCTGGGACACCATTTCGAGTGGTAAGAACTATTGCTCAGAAATTATTGTACTGAACTTGACTAAGACTTTCAACCATACCATGTGGCAAACAAACTTCATCCGTTGTTGTAGTTGATTTTACTTGGACCGGAGATCGTAAATGTCAACATTGAAGCATGAGGTTAAAAAGATAAAAACAAGATTGCTTCATCAGCTTCTCCTCGATGTCTTTTGCTTTATGTATTGATGATGATGTAATATTGTGTTCATCACTTCCTTCTGTGTATTCATATTCTTTATTGGTTAGTAGTTCTAATATCTTCTAACAACTCTTACATCTGCAGGATGCCTTTAAGTATCTTAGAGGTGATTGTTCTCATTGGTTTCTCACTCATTTCCATATGGATCGTAAGTCGACTCACATATCTTCTCTCTGGGTTTTATGCAATGTTTTGATTAGAACCACATGTAAAAATTGGATTCAGGTTCATGTGCTTTGGTAGAACTAAAATACTTCTGTTTTTGAGTTGCCGTGCTGGATACGGATTGCTGATATATATTTATCTGAAATCTTCAACTTCTTGTGGCATTGCAAAGTTGGAGTTGTATATATAATCCCATTGGTTGCTGGTTCAGTAACTATATTGCTTTATTGACTACAGGTTAGAAAGCCAGCTAATAATTCAAATTAATGAGTTACTGCATGTCTCCATGTGATCTGTCTATATCAACTGTGTTAACTGCTAGGCGCTGTCTCGTCCAGTGTCACAGCCATATGTGGCTGATGACGAGTCACTTGTGCCCTAAGTAATCACCATCGGCCACCAAACAACCATGGAGGTAACCGTTATAATTTGTTTTGCAGATTATCAGGGATTGACTAAATCCTTTTGCCATGGGAAGGTTTACTGCACTTTGATAACTGCAAAGCTTGTAAACATGAAGATTGGTATTCCTTGGGAGAGGTTAGAAGTCTTGCCTTTAAACCAGAAGATCCAAATAAATGGTGTTGATGTGACTTGCTTGGATGCAAATCACTGCCCTGGTTCAGTCATTATTCTCTTTCAACCTCCTAATGGCAAGGTGTGTTTTCCATTTCTCAACTACGTGTCCTCTGGTTTTCTGCATGTATCACTTTGTCATCCTTCTCAAGTTAATCTCTAATTCATGCAACTAGTCAGGCTGTCTTGCACACGGGAGATTTTCGGTTTTGTGATAAGATGGCAAGCATCGATCTTTTACAAGCCTGCCGTATCCATACTCTGATCCTTGATACTACCTACTGTAACCCTCAGGTAATGCATGTTGGAGTTGGGGCATCCTTGATACTACGTACTGTAATCCTCAAAGTAGTCACCTTTTTTGTACAAGATAAGCTAACTTTGAAATCACAATGTTTTCTCAATGAGTTAGGCGCATTTAGGTACTAAACTATTATGAAGAACCATGTTAAGCTGATTCGGAAACTTGAATATGGGGCATAGTTTGGATTTGTTTCACCCTCTGAATGCCAACTGAAGTATTCTTTCTATATTGGTGCAGTATGATTTCCCTAAGCAGGAGGCGGTAATACAATTTGTTATTGAGGCAATTCAAGCAGAAACTTTCAACCCTAAAACTCTATTTCTGATTGGAAGTTACACAATAGGTAGAAATCATTCACTCTTTGTGGTTTTTTCATCCCACTTCCTTCCTTGAGCCTTCATCTCTATTTATTATTTTATGTTCCTCGTTAAAGGAAAGGAAAGGCTGTTCTTGGAGGTAGCGCGAGTTTTGCGGAAGAAAGTTTACGTCACTGCTGCAAAGCTCCGGATTCTCAATTGCCTCGGCTTCTCCAAGGAAGATATGCAGTATTTTACACCAAATGAAAGGGAAAGCCAAATTCACGTGGTGCCTATGTGGACGCTTGCAAGCTTCAAAAGACTAAAGCATGTAGCAAACCAATATGCGGTGAGGTTCATTTTCTTTTACTTGATCTGCGTAACTTGTACTTTCAGCTCAACTTTCTCTGGCCATTGAACAATTAATGATTTTGATGCACTATGAACAGAATCGATTCAGCCTTATAGTAGCTTTCTCGCCAACTGGTTGGTCGTTTGGTAAAGGAAAGAAGAAGTCTCCCGGGAGAAGATGGCAGCAAGGAACAATTATCAGGTAATAAGTCCTCTCCCAATCTCCTTGTGAGCTGAGAAACCAATATGATGGTTGCCATCCTTCGCTGTCTTCAATAATTTTGGTGAAGAAACTTTCCTTGCAAGTAACCAATTAGCATGTTTTTTTTTTTTTGCCGACATTCGATTTCATCTGCATGGGTTGGAGCAGGTATGAAGTTCCATATAGTGAGCACAGCAGTTACACAGAGCTCAGAGAGTTTGTGAAGGTTGTGTCCCCTGAAACGATAATCCCAAGTGTTAACAATGGCGGACCAGAGGCTGCTGCTTCCATGGTTTCTCTCCTCCGACCCTAATTGGTTTGGTTGATATATCTATAGGCCAGCAAAGGATTATTCTATAGCTTGAAGACATCTGGAAGTTACTGCAATGTAATATATAACTCGGTTCTTGTCATATTGGAAATCTCGTCCAATTGCCAGGAAAATGCCAAAGAATCTTGGATGATTTGACAGAGACAACATTGTTGAAAATATTACCACAAAACAAGACAGAGAGCCAAAAAAAACAGGAAAGAAGAAAAACCTTAACCTTTCTTAGCATGTATTTTCTTTTCTGCAGAACTGTATGTAGGCTTCAATGATACTGTATTACAACTTACAAGTAGGCATTGTTTGTAGTGGTTCAAGCTGTGTGGCAATACTGTATGTAGGCTTCAATGACCGTGCATTCAAACTGATCTAGCATAAGTTGCTTGTCACTCCGAATGACAGGTTAACAAGCTGAGTAAAATTGAACACTACTGTGTTGGATTTTGATTTCTTTACCTCCTCTTACTAACATATCAATGTTGTTTGCATAATGTATTCTAAAATTGGGCTAATACCACCGGAAATATTAAATTTTAGCGAAAGTGTACGGGGTCGTTTGGAAGTTGCGAATGTTAAATCGTTGCATTGTAATGAATCACCATAATATAGGGCGGCGGCTGCCATATTAGGGATTAAGGCGAGCGGGGTAAAATCGTCTATTTGGTTAATTTAGGGCGAAAAAATTAAAAAATTAGGACATTAAATAGAAATTCAATATTTTTGTTAGTTAGGATATTTCTTAACCGAATATTTTATTTGATTGCATAGTTTTTAGAGATATTAATAGAAACCTAAGAGACCCCTGAAATAGGATCTCGGTCAGCACTATATTACCTCGCCAATTTGAGTTATACTTGGCTCGAATGGGAGTCGTTAGTGTTGTAATCGATTGTAAAGTTTGACATCATGTACAAGTAAAAAACTCGGGACTGGAGTGCTAGCACTATACTTAAATAATCATTTGGAGAATTATATTAACTAATATAATAATATTTTATTTTTCGCCTACTGCATCTCATCTCCCACCCTTCACCCTCGCCTTCACTTCTCCCAATTGAAAAAAAAATACAACAGGTTACTTATAAAAAAAATTATTTCACCATTTACAAATTAATTTTATTACTTTTCATCCTTTATAATGTTTTTGGTATGCTTCGTGAGATTTCTGGTGTGGTTTCTCATTTTTTTGTATGTTCTATAAGAATTTTGATGTGGTTGCACATTTCTGGTCAGTTTCAGGGAACTTGTGATATGCTTTATAATGTTTATATTCTACTCGATGAAACTTGTGATATGCTTTATGAGATTTCTCGTAATGCTTAACACTATGTTTCCGAAAGAAGGGAGGAAAAGGAGGGGAGGTGAAGGAAAATTAGGAGAGGAGGGGAGATGTGGAGGTGAAGGAAATTGAGAGGAAAATGTTGTTTTATGGAGGAAAGTTGGAAGGAAAGTATGTACTGGGAAGTGAGATAAATATGTAATTTTATTGGTTTTGTAATAGTAAAATAGTTTGATTGTATGTTCATATCCTCCTTAATAATTGATCAAACATTCTAAATAAAATAAAATTTATTCAACTTATTTAATACAATGTTTAAAAAACACAACCCCTAGCCGATCGGACCATAAATATCAAATATTGGACCCAATACAGTAGGCAATTTTAGCGGTAGAAATGATTGAACTATAGTTAAATCACTATTTTAATACAAGATACACTACTTTCTCGGTATAAGTATAACCTCCGGTACGGTTTCCCATTAGAAGCGTAACACACTCTTATTTAACTTTTTAAAACTATTATTAAAAAAATATTGCCCAATTAAAATGTGACCGATATAGATAAAATAAACACTTCCCAGTTTTTTTTGGCTTTCACAATGCCGTGCAACCATATAAATACAGATTAAAAGTATAACCTCTTGCATATATTCACAATAGCGCATTTATCTCTTCTTAGCAAAAACAAAAATTAAAAATAACATACTCATTTAAATTAGATCTCGTTGGGAAGGAAAACGAAAAAAGAATAAAAGAAACCTATTCCGCATTAAACAGTCACATTGGACAATATAAAAAAAGAACATAGAAACCCAAAATAAAAAAAATAAAAGAAACGAAAAAAACAACGAAAAAATTGTTTCTCTCCGATTTGTATAAGATGTTTATCCAACAAAATAAAAAATGTAAAAAATTATAAACTTTAATTTCCTAATCATTCTTCCCACCCAAAAAATGAAAACGAAAAGCAAATAAAAACAAAAGAAACTTCTTCCTTCTCTCTTTCCCTCCAATTTGGAGGGTAGGGTGGTACAGTACTCATTCCTTTCCTTTTCCCTCCCCTTCCTTTCTTTCCCTCCTTCCCGCACAAAAGAAAGTGCATTGGAAACACAACTTTCCTTCTATCTTTTTTTTCCCCTTGCTTTTACTTTGTTAAAAAACAGAGTGTAAGGGATTTTGCGGTTTGCTTTAAAAAGTTTTGGTTCTTCTTCAAGGAACTTATGGTCTGTTTAATTTTCCTTTTTGGAATATTTTATGAATTTTCTAGTAGGGTAATATTATGATCTACTTTATAAACTTTCTAGTCTATTTTATATTATTTATTTATGTTATGCGAGATGTGATATAGATTATTTATTTTATTTATCATCAACTCCTTAAAATTTAAAAAATCAGAAAAATAAATTTTATTATTGGATGGAGTCATGAAGGCTGGAGCTAATGTTTGATTAATAACACCCTATCCTCCGCAAAAACTCGCTTTCAGAAAGTGGAAATTATAAGGTAAAGTTTAGATTCAAGTAATGCGGCAGACTGTCAGACTGGTGCATGAGGCTTTGCGCTTTGGCTTATTCTGAAACAGTCATCACGAAGCTTCCTAAAATTTTGTGGATAGAACTGAATTACTTTCGTTATGAATCGGTGAACTCTATATAACATTTTAGTTTGACTTTGTACATGAAAACAAAGCCGGGTTTCGGTACAAAACTCGGATTTGTAAAACCCAATCGTATATAATCATATTACGATGATACGACCAAGTCTTGCAGGATTTTGCAAGAAAGATTTTTGTACTCTATATGCATCCTAAGAATAATGCCTATGTTTGGCCCAGTTTTTAGAAGTGCTTTTCGGCTTTAAAAGTTGAAGCAGGACCAAATACCTCTAAAAGTTCGGCTTTTGAAAAGCCGAAAAGCGCTTTTGTATAACATAAAAGCAGAAGCTCCGATTTGGAGCTTCTGCAAAAAGCTGTTTTGAAATACAAGATTATCCTTACCGTATTTTAATTTTATTTCAGGAAATATAATTTTCCTTCATTTATATCATTTTAAAAATAAAATAAATTATAAAATCATATTATTTAATATAAAATAAATCTAACAATATCCATTTTGACGACTTTTTATTGTTTAGAATTTTTATTCATATTTTATATTATAAGTCATTTCTAGTCATTTTACACAACCGCTCATATTAAAAAGCACTTCTAATAGTTTTTGAAAAGTACTTATCTAAAAGCTCCAGCCAGAAGCGGCTTCTGCAAAAGCTACAGCAGGGCCAAACTAAGCTAATATTGCGAACTGTGATTCCACAAATATAATAACGTTATTATTACGATTATTGTGCTGCTTGACCAATCCAACTTACGTGTCATTAATCAATGTATATATACCAATTGTTAATAAACGAATTTTCTGTTTTTCCTTCGTAGATTTTTTTTATAGTAATATGAGTGCCTTTTATTAATGGGCTAAAGAGTCCAAATCCAGAGCATCAATGAGAAACATGGGTGGTCTGCCAACCCAGTCTTCTTGGACATCCCAAGTACAGTCCATATGTGCTAAATCGTGGGCTGCTCTATTACAGGCCGCTTGGCAAACTGCCACCTGACCCGACCGATTCGATTCGCTTCTTCCTTCAGCTCCATCACCATCGCTCCTGCTTCCAACTCCGTCATTTCCTCTCCCTGCAATTTGAGAATGGCGGTTTAACAGTCCGATTCAATGATCACCTGGCTTCGTCCCATCTTCTCCGCTAACCTCTGACCCAGATTTATTGCCCGGAGCTCCCCTAGTTCAGCTTGCCATTGGAGCTCCGAGAAAAGCTCCACCCTCATCCTGCGCCACCGCTCCGCACCCACTTCCTCGTCCGGCGAAAATTGCAGCGTCGACGTTCGCCTTTATCCACCCCGTCGGCGGTCTGGTCCAGGTAATTGCCTCCTCTGTCCTTTCTCTAGTGTCTTTCTCTTGATAGGATTTGAATTCTTCCCAGTGGTTTAGGGCTTTCCCCACTATTTCCCATTCCTCCATCTTGCTGGTATCGAACATTTGGTTGTTTCGTTCGTGCCATAAATACCATAGAATCATCCCCAATTGCTCTAATTGCTTATCACTTCCTGTCTCCATGACTTCGCACCACCATGATCCACACGAGAGATTTTCCTCCATTTCAAAGAAACCCCTGAACTCAGTAGGTCTCCAAGCCCTACTCGCCCATTGGCATTGCCTGAAGATATGTTCCTGGGTCTCCTCCAGTCCACAGAAAGGGCACTCAGTGACAGCATATTCCTTCTTTGTCGCTATGTTCTTACCAGTAGGTAAAATGTTGTGAATCATCCTCCATAGGAAGATTTTGACTTTTGGGGGTATCTGCAGCTTCCACAAACGTTTCCAATCCATAGGATCATAGGCTTCAATTTCCTCCAGCACCTCTTCCTCTTCGTTTCCTTCTAGATTCTCCATGTAGTTCTCTTGTCTATGCTGACTATGTCTGTACCAGAACCTATAGGCTGTTTAACTGAGTATTTGCCATTCTTCTCATGACACCACACCTGCACGTCCTTAGATGGTTGACGAGGAATAGGAATACTCTCAATTCGAGCTCTATCCACTGGATTGAACCTGTTTTGAAGAATGTTTCTTTTCCAAGTCCTCATGTCAATGTCCATAAGGTCTGACACCATAGTAACATCATTCTGGGGGGCTGATGTCACTTTGAAATGGTCCTCCTGAGCCTCTGGAATCCATTTGTCCCTCCATATTTCAATCTTTTCTCCATTTCCCACCCTCCACCTCAAGCCTTCTCTAACCATCTCTTGGGCAGTAAGTAAACTTCGCCATGTATAGCTAGGATTATTTCCCAGTTGAGCTTGCATCACCTCTCCATTGGGATAGTATTTTGCCTTGAGGACCCTTGCTGCTAATGAATCTGGCTTGGTCATTAAGTTCCAAAGCTGCTTCCCTAACATAGCTTGATTAAAATTTTTTAGGTCTTTAAACCCCATGCCACCCTCTTCCTTTGGCTTACATAATTTCTTCCAGCTTCTCCAGGGTATTCTCCATTCTTCTTTGCGCTGACCCCACCAGAACCTCGATATTACCCTTCTGATCTCATCTAGGATCCCATCTGGCACCCTGAACACAGACATAGAGTAAGTAACCTGTGATTGGGCCA